AAGTCGTCTCTCCCCGGGAAGTTGTTTCTGGATCAGTGAGAGGTATTTGTGGAATGTGGGAGGCTCCGGCGGCGACCATGGCAAACATTCATAGCTGGGGGACGGTTCCCGCTCTCGCAGGATTCCCACTGGAGTGAATCTTTTCTTTCATCACAGCAGAAATCAGCGTCACACGGCACAGGTCTGAACGGACGCAAGCCGGCGTGGAAGAAACGTGGACGCCTTCCTTCCGGGATGTTCCCGGTCGCATGTGTTACTTTGTATCCCTGAAGTTCAATCTGCTTATATTTGCGTGACATCATCACTAGGTCCCCGTGCTCCTCTGTGTTATCAGGAGCCCTCATGCAAACAGTGGGAGGAGTTATGCAAATATCAAGATGCCAGTCTGGAGGATTGGGTGTTCTAGCCGGGCTGGAAGTGTCTGTTGATCCTGCCAGAAATCCAGTTCTTGTACACTCTGCTTGAGCCGCTCTTAAATCTTGTTAGCCCGGCCTGTGAACTACAGAACATCTCCCCTCCCCCTATGAGATGGAGAAGGGTAGCTGTTCTGTAGTCCAAATTAGAAGAACACAGCTGTTCCTTCATAGGCACAGTAGGCACCCTGGACGCTCCAGTTGTTGCCAAACTACAAGTCCCATGAGGCATTGCAAGACTTGATAGGCACAGGCGTGGCTCCCAGAGGCAGAGGCATGATGGGATTTGTGGTTTGTATAGGTTGAATAATCCTCAATCTGCGTGTGTCTCCCCCTTCCCCGGCCCTTCTGGATGAATGACGGGAGTCGGGAGTTAATTTCCTGCTTAATCAATACTTGATTGAGTCGCGTTAGTGCGGCGAGGAGGCGAGCGGAGGCCACACTTGGGACTAATGTGGGACAATGTGATGTATGCCTTACACCGCCCCCCTCGGCTGCCGAGTAATTATGTAGTGGAGGGAGCGCGGATGTTGTGTCAGGAAGGATCCGATTCATCATTATCAAGCATCAGCTCTCCAGGCGTAACCCCATCCTAGCCTCGAGGATCCTGCTGGCTGTGCAGAGTTCTTGGAAAGCTGATTATGAGCAGCTGACGCAGCCGCCTGCTTTGCTGCTAAAACAGAGGTAGGCCATGTTCGACCCTCCCA